AAAAGTTCTCTAAGTAAAATTACATGACTAATTACGTAAGTGTATCGACGTCATTATGACCGTGTGGCAGGTAATAATCTTGGGTAATTTCCAAGCAAGTGCAGATTTTTACCTTCAAGGCTTCTATCATAATTTACTCGCGGAAAACTCGCATTTTGTTTATGCTTTGAAATTTGATTTATTCTAAGAGCCAGTTTGATAGCACTAAAATCGGTTGATTCTGCTGAAATTTATAAAGTTCTGGCTGAAGTGGTTGCATCGACTGATTCTGCTGATTAAAGAAAAAATATTTTTAAAATATATTTTATTAATAAAATAAAGAAAAAATTATATATAAAAATAACTAAAATGGTCATCTATATTAATTTCAGCCAATACAGCCACAAAAGTAACCTCAACCTTACTTTTTCTGCTTATTACACAATTCAGCGCGTGAAAACAAAAGTTACGTGTTTGGTGAAAAAGTTAGCTGATAAGCCAAAAAACAGTGTTGCCAAACGGCGTCTAAAAGTATTTGAGCAATGTTTAACATAAGAGCTCGTTTGGTAGCCTCTTTTTTGGTTTATCAGATTTATCAACCAGTTTTTTCATCAAACACGTAACTTTTGATTCCGTCCATTGAATTGCATAACAATAAGAAAAAGTAAGGTTCAACTTACTTTTCTGGTTGTATTGGCTGAGGTTACTGTAGAGTATCATTTTAGCTATTTTTCATATAATTTTTATTTTATTTATAAATAACAAATATTTTAAATATAATTTTCTCATAAATCAACAAAATCAGCCAATACACCAACCCACTTAAGCCAGAACTTCATAAATTTCAGTAGAATCAATCAATTCAACCAAAATAAGAGTGCATTTGAAGTTAAAGAGTACTTGCCGTCGTAGTAAAGTTGAATGTTTGAAATGAATGGAAGAATTATCAAATATTCAGGATCGCCCTTTGGAGGAGGTGTAAGGGTGCATTTGAAGAAAGCTCACAAATTAAATAGGTTCTCAATTTTTTATCCAAATAAAAATATACAATTATCAAAGTTGAATATGTTGAAAGTCAAACATGCATATGTAACAATACAACAAAGTTTTTATAAATTTATCTCTATTTCAATTGAAAGTGGTCTATTAGATAAAACTAAATATGATGACCACCGATGATTTGGTGGGAGAACTATCAAATAAGCCAAGGAACTTACATAAAAAGTGCAAATAAGCCCTTTTTTAGGAAACTCTGTCCGTCTGTCGTCATTTGGATCGGTTTCCGCTGGAATTTTTTATAAAACTTTTTCACCATCTTATTCATTAAGTCCAGTTTACTCATACCAAATGTCGACTAAAAATTCAACCGGGAAAGCAGTCAAATGAATTTTTGAAAGTAACTGCGCAGTTAGACAACGCAGTATATTTCAGAAAATCATTTGATTGCTTTCTCGATTGAATTTTTAGCTGAAATTTGATATAGGTAAACTAGACTTAATGAATAAGATGCTCAAAAAATTTCATCAAAAAATTCAACTGGAAACCGTCCCAAATGGCGACGGCCGGACAGAGCCTCCTATAAAACGGCTGATTTGCACTTTTTATGTAAGTTCGAGGGCTTATTTGATAGTTCTCCCATGATTTGAATGAAAAAATGCTTTTGCCAAAAAATGATATATGGTTTTATTTATCTCGGGTTGATTTCGTTCAAGTTATTGTATTGACTATTAATAGTTTGGTGTATTGATCACATATATAACTACATTTTTGTTAAATAATTAAATAAGTACTACTCCGTAGTATTTACTTTTGTATTGAATTTTATTTTATATTTCGTTATTTGATTTTTGAAGAGCTAAATTTTGTGTAGGTTAAAACTGTATTGGATGTTAAAACTGTTGTATTGAATGTTAAAACTATTCATAACTTACTATTGTACTTCAAACTGTTGTACTCCCTCCGTCCCTTATAACTTTGTCAATTTTCCTTTTTTGGTTGTCCCAAAAACTTTGCCACTTTCCCTTTTAATCAATCAATTTGTGGCTCCTGTTATTTTTCTCTCCTCTGCACAAATATCTACCACACAGTTTTTACTTTATTATTCTACGTGTCGGTCAAACTTGGCAAACCTTTAAGGGACGGAGGGAGTACTATTATACGTAGTATTTCGTTACTATTGAATGTTCATACCTTAAAACTGTATTCGATTTTATACAAAGTCGGGGCCGCCCTGCAAATATTGTCACTAAATCCTAAATTAAATTTTGTACTTTATAAAATTCATCCTTATTAGCTTTTTAAAAACACTCATTTAGTAAGTTAACAGTAAATTTTCTAAGATGCATGTCAACTTCATTTAAAACAGCAAAAAAAATTAAGAACTCATTTCATAACATTGAAATTAGCTGAATTAACTACATCTGCGGAAAGTGATAAAATTCCGGCTGAAGCGACTAAATTGGATTAATTAGCTGAATTATGAGAAAACTATACTAAAATATATTTATTAATAAAATAAAGAATAATTTATTAATTTCAACAGAAAAGTAATTTCAACTTTATTTATTTTAATTATCCTACTACGTACAATTTATCGTTTAAAATCAAAGGTTACGTTGGTAATGCGGATCGGATAAGCCGAATAAAGGGCTTTTTTCACTTGCACTCATTTTTTTTAGTTTTTTTGGTTTAAGCCTATTTTGATTTAATTTTGTAATGGTTTGACATTTGTATATTTTTGGGAGAATTATCAAATAAGCTCTCGAACTTTCATAAAAAGTGCAAATAAGCCCTTTTACAGGAGGCTTTGTCCGGCTGTCGCTATTTAGGGCTGTTTCCAGTGGAATTGTTTGATGAAATTTTTTGAGCATCTTTGCCATTAAGTCTAGTTTACTCATACTAAATTTCAGCTAAAAATTCAATTTAGAAGGCATTGAAATGTTTTTCTGAAATATATTGTGCTGCCTAACTGCGCAGTTATCTTCAAAAATTCATTTGACTACCTTCGCGATTGAATTTTTAGCTGAAATTTGGTGTGAGTAAACTAGACTTAATAAAGAAGATGCTCAAAAAATGTCATCAAAAATTCTAGAGGAAACCTCCCCAAATGGCTATAGCCGGACAGAACCTCCTATAAAAGGGCTTATTTGCACTTTTTACGAAAGTTCGAGAGCTTATTTGATAGTTTTCCCTATATTTTTCAATTGTATAGTATAATTCTTGTCCATGGGACCCTTTCTCTGATATTTTCTTGTTTTTAAACCTAAGAGTACTGAAATTAGCTAGTCAAGTCCCTAATTACTGATCCACATTACTGATTCAGGATCATTTGCCGATCCAATAATTCACGTTCATAACTTTAATGCAGAAAAAAACAACAAATTATATACTAGTATAAATATATATAAATGATAATTCATCTAGCTAGAATATTAATAAATGAAGCAAAATTAGAAAACTTATATGACATGCACTCAAGATAGGAACTAGATTAGACGTGTCTTTGTATCCTGTGGATATATTGCTAATCAAAATGATAATTCAGTTTTTTTGCAAGTTTAATTGGACATTTCTTAGGTTAAAGTTCATTTTAAGTTTTGGTGATAGAATATATATGGGCATATGTCAAAGTTTAATCAAACAATTGCGGAAATTTATTTCACTCTTTACCACTCTCGTCTATCTGGAATTAAATTACACATTTCAATATTTTATTTATTCAATTTCATGTCATTAAAATTTGGCTAAGTTTAGATGGTGGAGGGAGTAGGAGTACAAATTTGGGCATTATTGTTATCGCGCAAAAAGACGATAAACCAGATAAATATCATCTTTATTGAATTTATGTGAAAATAAAATTCAACATTCTTGTTCTTTATTCCGGGTTGAATATTAGTTCTAGTTAATAGTTACACCATGAGGGTTAAGAGTTAAACCATACAAAATATTAATTAAGTTGTAAAATTATCAAATTTAATACAATAAAATGTAATATACTTTACGTTGCTAGAAATTAATATTCATCAATGGTTTTTAAAGTTTTAGCATTTTTTCAATATATATCAAAATATAACATATACTCCATATTGTTTAAGAGGATAAAATAATATATTTCATATAAGCACACACATTTAGCTTTCTTTTTACTGCGTATTAATCATTTAGCTTTCTTTTTACTGCGTATTAATCATTTATTCATATGTTAGTTATCTTTACTATACACATTATATCTTCATTTACAAATTCTGAGTGGTCACGGAATTTGTAACTTTTTCGCCCAGCACGTAATTTTTGATTTCGCACGCTAAATTGTGTAACAATACGAAAAAGTAATTTTGAAGTTACTTTTCTGACTATACTGGCTGAAATTACTGAAGAGATTCATTTTAGCTGTTTTTCATATAATTTTTTCTTTATTTTATTAATAAAATATAGTTTAAATATATTCTTTGTCATAAATCAGTATAATCAGTCAATTCAACCACTTCACCCAGAACTTCATAAATTTCATGAGAATCAGCTTATACAACCGATTTGTGTGTTACCAAATGGGATCTATATCTTTCTTTACAACACGCACATTTAGCTATTTTAGAGGCGTATGAATATTACATACTTGGGTTATTAAATTGTTGGTAATTTGATATGAATAAGAGATTTATTGGTATGCAAAAATATAAAAATCTCTGATGCATCATTTTTTAACGGTCCGATCCGGCATTTTTTGGCTCGCAAACCGTACGATTTCGGTTCATGATAAAAAATAATAGAAGCGTTCAAATACCCGATATTCGATTTACTATCATTTCGGTTGAGTTTTTTATCCACTCCTATTTCATATAGTAAGTCAAAGATATGGGGAAAAACTAATACCAGGTCCAACTTAACTGCCCAAACAATCAAAATTTTAATTTTGATTTTGAATATCCATTGAATCAACACAAATACCCGATCATCCGGTACCGCATATAAAAACTAACGCCCCCACATTTTCCCACTCCAATAAGCTCAAACCTACAAAACATTCACATTTCACAGAGCACTCCCACGAACAAATGGCATACCAATGGCCGGAAAGTATGCCGGCGACCCACAAAAAGGCCGTCGAGGAGCTGATTCTTGGTCGGGAATTCGCATACCAATTATGGGAAATGGTGAAGAACGGTCGCGGGCATGGCTATGTCGATGATCACGGACCGCCGGAGTCGTCTATTAGTGTTGCAAAGGATCTGGTGGCGAAGATTTTGGGATCTTTTTGTGAGAGTATTTCCATTCTTGGGTCGTTGGACCCCGCCGAGGTTTCTCCGGCTGCGCGACTGCCATCATCGCCGTCGCCGGACCGCCGGAAGAAGGAGGAGTACAGTGGAAGGTGCAAGACTTTATCAGTTAAAGATGGTAGAGGTTGTTACAAAAGAAGGTGATTTTCTTTGCAAAATTTCATATTACCCCATCTTTTCCCAAAAGCTAAGTTTAATTTGATCAAGGACAAAATTAGTTCCTTTCATATACTGTACGTAGTAGTAGTACTTAATTAGTATTTACATCAATATCATATGATCTTATCATTATATTCATAAAGTTTATGCATTTAGAAATTATATTAGTTTTGGAACTAAAACTAGATACGAGTATTAATTAAGAAGAAGAGGATTGTATTGATTGAGGAATAACCAAAAAATGGAATGGAGGCAGCATTTATATGAAGACAAAAAAAATCTATAGTTTTGAATTAAAGATCATTATGTAGTACTAGTATATACTTCGTATTATTCATAGTTTTATAAAATTATAATGGGAAAGTTCCCGAAATATGACTAAAACAGTTTCAAAATTTCAAAATAGGACTGACATGTTTTTTATTCCCAAAATGAGACTAATTACTGTAATGTTTAGAAAATACTGACATGTTTGAAGTCCGGTACTACCAAAACATGACAGTAATTAGTCCTATTTTGAGAATAAAAACATGACAGTTCTATTTTGGAATTTTCAAAGTGTTTTAGTCCTATTTCAGGTAATATCTCATTTATAATCTGGTAAAGTAATATGTTCTAAATATTCTTAGGTGAGTTTAGAAAACGCAGCCTAATCAGAGTTGGTGTTCATGAAAAAAACACATATACACGCACATGATATATTATTATGTTGCGCCTATTGCCGGTAAGCAAAATTTAGATTTCGAATGAATTGATATAATAATTTATGGATATTGATTTTTATGGCATACTACCAGGGGCGGATCCAAGAATTAAGAGTGGGGTGGGCTTAGCAGGAAAAAAATTGTTATTGCAAACAAAAAGTTTAGCTTAGGCTGCTTAAGGCCGTAATCGAATTGAGTTTTTTTCGAACTACGCGAATTCGAGCGTGATTTCGAATTTAATTTAGTGATCTGAGCTTAAGAAGCTTTTTTTAACTCGAACACGAGCTAGATTTTGAGTTAGAATAGTTGTTCAAGCTGAGTTCGAGCATAGTGGTATTCGGTTTGATCCGGACTCGAGTCTATCAATAACTCGTAAATTATAGAAATAAATTTTATTTATCTTAAAATTTAAACATTTTCATTGCAATTTTTTAAATATATTTGAACACTAAAAAAATAGAGTTCACATATCTATTTTATTCAAGCCGAGTTTGAGCATAAATTAAATTAATAATCAAATAGAATTACATAACTATTAAATAAAAATAATGCACTAATAAAACTATTATAATTTTATTATTAATAATAATAATTTTAATAATAATAATAATAATAGAAATAGTATATGACCAAATAAGGATATTTGATAAAGAGTAACTTAGTTATTTTAGTGATTATAATTATGTTTAAATTTTAATGCTTATAAAAGTTACTCATGGTGACTTGGGTCAAATAATAGTAATATTCATATAATAATAACAGTATAATAATAATAATATAATATTAATCATAAAATTTATGTTGTAAAATAATATTGTAAACTTGTACTACCTCCGTCCCTTAAAACTTTGCCAAGTTTGACCGGCACGGAGATTAATAAAGTAAAAACTGTGTGGTTGAGTTTTGTGAAGAGGAGAGAGAATTAACTGGAACCACAAATTCTTTACTTAAAAGGGAAAGTGGCAAAGTTAGTGGGACATCCAAAAAAGGAAAGTTGGTAAAGTTTTAAGGGACGGAGGGAGTAATATAAAGTGCTTTCATTGATGGTGTGGGTGAGTGGGTGAGATGAGATTGCATAATTTGCAGCTGGCTCCAAACACCAACTACATACAATTGTTTAATACTCCGTATGTAAAGTTTTGCTCCTCAATTTATCCCACACCGACTGTAAGAATGGTTCACCCTCCTGAGTGTCCTATATATAAATCACTTCTTGGTGCAATCACACCAAGCTCTATTATTACGCATCGGGATCATTTGTTCTCGGGATCATTTGTTCCCATGACTATGGGCTTTAAACAAAGTTTGGGCAGCCTTTTGCTTTTAAAGCTTCTTAGAACACTTCCTTGTAGACTTGGGGTGGGCTGAGTTTTAATTTTTGGGTGGGTTTAAAATTAAATCTCTTTCTATACTAACAAAAAAAATTGGGTTGGGCTGGGCTAGAGCCCACCCTAGGCCCTACATAGATCCGCCCATGCATACTACTGTGTACTCCCTCCGTCCCTTAAAGGTTTGACAAGTTTAACTGACACGTAAAAATAATAAAGTAGAAACTGTGTGGTAGATATTTGTGCAGAGAAAGAGAAATAACATGAGCCACAAATTGATTCATTAAAATGGAAAGTGACAAAGTTTTTGGGACAACCAAAAAAGGAAAGTTGACAAAGTTATAAGAGACGGATGGAATATTTGTTAATTGTGCTCGAATTTGGTGCGCAAATGTATAAAGCTTACCGTCGCTTTGGTGACTGAATCACCTTGATTAACTCATCCACCATCCTGTCGGTCGGGTGGGGGCTCCTAGGGTGGGAGATTCCACCTTTTGGATCAAGTCAATTGTGCTCGAATCCTATATACTTTGCTCAATCCATCTTGTGGTTGCTTTTATTAATTTTGATGAGCCTACTTGTGAAGTGCTTTTCGACACCGATTAAGAGCATTTTTCTTGATCAATCAATCAATCAAGTTGACGGACTACTAGTCCATATTGACATATTGTTAAAGTTGTATACATATGATTTTTTTATTAAGCTCATGATATTCTTGGACTTCTTGCTCATTAAATCACTTAATCGAATCCATATGCTTTGCTACTTGAGGTTTTAATTTACTATATTTATAGCTGGTTAATTTGGAATTTTTCTACAATACGATCTACTCCCTCCGTCCCATTTTAAATGTCTCATTTTACTATATTGGGATGTCCCACCCCAGGAGCCCCCACCTGACCGACATAATTACGAGGTCTTCCCCAATTACTTGGTAACGTTTGTGTGACTCAAAATCATTCTTACTTTATTCTTACTTTATCAATTACTATCAACCACACAAATCCACTTTTCTTAAAACTCGTGTCACCCTCCTCCGGGACATTTAAAAGGGGACGGAGTAGTACATAATTACGAGATCTTCCCCAATTAAGAGTATTTATTCTTAATGTTATTTCTACATAGATTTACGTTTGGATAGTTAGAAATAAAATGAAGATAAACAACTACTCCTTCCGTCCCCCTAATATTAGTACGAAAGGGTGTGGTGTGATTTTTAAGAAAAGTAGAATTATGCGGTTGATAATGAGTTGATAAAGTGGAAATAAAGTAAGAATGAATTAGAGCCACACAAATGTTACCAAATATGGTATGAGACAATAATAAAGGGACATCCAAAAATGAAAAAATGAGACAATAATAGGGGGACGGAGGGAGTAATACAGTAGCAAATCTAGCTCCTAAATGAAGCGTGTTTAAAAATTTCACAATTAAAATTTCAGACAATTATAAATAGAGTTAAAAGTTTAATTTTCAAATTTAGAGACAATTATGTAACTGCTAGTTAATTTTCATTATTTATTTTTCAATTCTATGTGTTTAATTTTCTCTGGTATACTTATAGCGATATCAGAAACTAAAATCCAAAAAAAGTTATTAGAACGAAGTTAATCATTTTAATTGGTCTTTAAATATAACTATTTTCTACTGAAAGTTTTATTTCACAATATTTAGAGCCCGTTTGGTAACACTGAAATCGGCTGAATCGACTGATTGTGCTGAAATTTATGAAGTTTTGGTTGAAGTGGTTGTATTGGCTTATTCTTACTGATTTATGAAAAATTATATTTAAAATATATTTTATTAATAAAATAAAGAAAGAATTATATGTAAAAATAACTAAAATGATCATATAAACTAACTTCAGCCGATACAGCCAGAAAAGTAACTCCATCCTTGTTTTTTCTTATTGTTACACATTTCAGCGCGCCAAATCAAAAGTTACGTATTTGGTTAAAAAGTTGTCTGATAAGCCTAATAAGCCGAAAAACAGTGCTATCAAACGGGCTCTTAATTTAACAAATGATCCTCACATGTTCTTTTCTACAGCATATAATGTGTTACATCATGTTAACCTTTTTTTGAAAGAAATAAGCATAATTAGTATTAATCGAATCGTTAGCCAAAACCGATACAATGCACGAAGGAGGAGAATAAAATCAAGAACGTGAGTTAGACAAAAAACAAGCCGATTTAGCTACTTCATATTATCCTTTATAATGTACACATTGTGTATTTTGATTATAGCATTGGTAAGATAATGACACCTTAATACCATTGAGAGGATGAAATTATAATAACTATGTCAATTATTGTTGTTGCTGTTATGCAGGAGAAAATGTGAGACACTAATTAAAGATTCTCAAACATTACTAGATGATGGGTATGGGTGGAGAAAATATGGACAAAAAACTATCCTTCATTCCCTATATCCAAGGTTTGCTAGGCTCTACCTCATTCCACTTTAATTAATCATTTATAATTTACTTTTGAAAGACTTGGTCTGATGGCGCTATATTTTTAGAAAATTAGGCCATAATTAACACGCTTCCAGCTAAGAACATAAACTTTTTTACTTTATTTAATTATTATTTTACTTCATATGCATCATTTACTAAACACATAAAAGTGTTCTAACCCAGCAACTGCGATGATGGGTTATTATGCTAAAAATGCATAGGATCTCTGCAAGTATCGTACGTGGACAGAACTCCACTATCCATCTGTCACCAGATTGAGATTATAGTCCAATTTACATCATCCCAACGTACCGCTTGATCGAGGTTAAGTACCGGGGACAGAGCCACACTATCCATCTGTCAGATTGAGATTATAGTCCAATTTATATCATCCCAACGTATCGTCCGATCGAGGTTTGGAGTCCTCAGGAATGGGGTGTCATCCTTTTTATATAAAAGTGTTCTAAAGTACTTGATTTGGTATGCATTTCCAAAGTTGAAAAACGCGCTTCACACCAAGTAAAAATTGTTTTACGTTGATGATATACCGTTTCCAAAATTCTTTAAATAGTAGTCCATCTTACTTTTAAATTAAAAATAATAATAGAAGCAGTGGATAGTCTAAAAAGAAAGTAAAAACGCACTAGGAGACAAAAGATAGATTAGTAGAAAAGAGAAAAAAAAAGAAATTGTTAGGTAAAACTTACCAAACACAAAAACAAAGCAAATAATAAATTATATTATCAAAGAAACAGAATATTACCCTAAATAAGCCGCCCATCGATCATTCCTTTTGTTTTTATTTGCTCTGTTCCTTTAGATTTTTTTATCTCATTTCTTTTACTTTTCTACTTTTTCAAGTAGCTACTTATCACCCGTACATTTCTTAAATTAAATTTCATGAAGACATTATAGGAGAGTAATTACATAAAAACAAAGAAAGATGCTTCTAGCTAGGTTTTTAATGTAATATCAGCAACCGATCAGCACAAATTTGAAATAAATATTTATAGAAATTACTCCAGATAGGACTAAAACTATGGCAAAAACTCAAAATAGGGCTTATTATGTTTTTCTTTTCAAAATAGGACCATATTAGTCCTATTGGAAACATACATATTTTTTCATTCCATTCTTACCCTTCCTTTAAATATGAGTTAATTAAATGTTTAATTCATAATAAATTCGAAAAAAATTCAAAAATTCTTAGAAAAATAACTAAAAAATTTATATAATATTTATAAAATAAAAAATTAAAAAAATATTTTTTTAAAAAAATTTAATAAAAAATAGTAAAACATCATAAAAGAAATTAAAAAAAATATGGATGCCTTTCCCACCGTCTGTACTACCTCCCTACACCACCATCTCCAGGCGGTGAAAAAATGTCACTTTTCTTAAAAACTGCCGTTTTTTCTGAAAATGCCAAAAACATGGCATATTTCTATTTGAGAATGCCAACATTTTCATTGTTTTCTGCCATAAATATGGCATTCGTAATGATTTTGGCATTTTCCCCCCAGTGACTGGAGGTGGTGGTGCAGAGGCGGCAGAGGCGGCGGTGAATTTTATTTTATTTTTTTGAGTTTTTTTTTAATTTTTTTTTTGAAAATAAATAAGTAAATAAATTATTATTATCGAATTTTTTTATTTATTTTTTAGTATTTTTTACTAATTTTTATTATTTTTTATTATTTTATTATGAATTAAAACATTTCAATAGCTATAAGGGTATATTTGTCCAAGACACACATAATTAGTCCTATGAAAACATAGTTTATTTTTTGGCCTATTTGTGCAAAGTGAGTGATTTTTAGTCCTATTTTGATAATTAACTCAGTTATTTATATACTCTTTCAACATCCCAAATTAATTGGTATTGATAAATAATACATATATTGAAAAGATTAAAATTTGGGTTTGAATTAGCGGCACTTTTGTTTGCGATATTCTCTGATTTTTATGCATATTTTTTGAAGATTGCTTTAATTTAACGAAAACAAGTCACATAAATGATTTCAAACCCTAATCAAAGTTGGCTGCGAGTGGCGTCACCACCACGCGCCCGGCCACGCCCTAACCCTTATCAAACTAGCTCGTTAATGACTAGACTCATCACTGTATCCTAGCACATCAAATTCATTATTACAACCTTAAACCGACCCACCGAAAGAGAAACACTGTTAAAACAAACACGGGGCAAATAAGCACACGTATTAACTAAAAAAGATTAAATAAGCCTTTATATATGAGGCTATGTTCGACCGTCGTCATTTGAGGCGGTTCTCGGTGGAAATTTTTTATACAAATTTTTGAGCATATTATTCATTAAATCTAGTTTACTCATACCAAATTTCAGCCAAAACTTCAATCGAGAAGGCATTCAAATGAATTCTTGAAGATAATCGCTGAGATATCTTCAAGAATTTATTTGAATGTCTTCCCAATTGAATTGTTAGCTGAAATTTGATATGAGTAAACTAGACTTAATGAATAAGATTCTAAAATAATTTCATCAAAAAATTCACCGGGACTGCCCCAAATGGCGACGGCCGGACAAAACCTCATATATATGGGCTTATTTGACCTTTTTTTATTTAGTACTTGAGCTTATTTGCCCCCTTTTCCTTAAAACAATATTGAAGTAGGAGGTGAAACCATGAATTATGAATATAACAGGGAAGGAGAGATGCATGGGTAGTAAATAAAATATTAGATTTATGAATGTGTGTATATATATGGAAGGACTAATGTGATAAATGAGACACTTTTTACTTACCCATTGATAAATATAATTAGACATATATTTTACACTCCCTCTCAAACTTCATTAGTTAATATATGAGGTTATTTCTGTCTTTATACATACTCCGGCTGTATATCATTATCAACTATCCAATTGTAAAAAGAATTAAGAAAATAAGCTTGTAAGCTTGTTCACTCCTCTTCTTGTAATTTAGCCTAAAGCTATGTTTGGCAAGCATAACTATCTGTCTTCTAGCTTTTGTACTATTCAAAAAGTCTCTATAAGCTTCTAGTTATATATTTGACATGACAATTTTTAAGAGTTTTTCAAAAATTAAAAGATCTTTTCTGAAAAAGGATGACACCCCATCCCCGAGGCCCCCCAACCCCGACCGGACGGTGCGTTGGGAGGATGTAAATTGGAGTATAATCCCAATATAACAGATAGAGAGTGAAGCTCTATCCCCGGTACTTAAAAGATTTTTTTTGAGATGCTACATGGAGTAGCATCTGAAAAAAGCTCGTGACTTTTAGTATTAATTAGCCCTAACAGCTTGTATACTAAACTGAACTATATCAAACAGTCAGCTTTTTACCAAACAGCTACCACAAAAAGCTGACAGTTATTAAAAAGCTCATAAAATATCTTTTCAACTAGTTGTGACAAACATACTCCGTTTTATTATTATAACCTCCGCGCCTACCTTCTCCCGCGCCTTTTGAAACGTACATGTTTAAGATTGACAATTTTCTAAGTTCTTAAAAGTACTGTGCGTAAAACAACTTTATTCATTTGCTTTTCTAAATGGCTGTGTATGGGATGCTTAACATGATTGGATTAACAATAATTATTATACTTAATTCCTCCATTAACAAAAACTTTCCCCCAAAGTTGCGCGGCCATGAGTGTCAAAACAAAAAGTGGCGTGACAAAATGTGCTAAAGTGACTTCTATACTTTTATATCAAGAATGCGGCACTAATTTTATCATAACTAATAATACTAAATTTCAGGTTCGGGAATGGGGCATTTGCCTCCTAGGACCCCCTAGGTCCTCCACAGGTCATTCGTTATATATGTAAAAACTTGTATGGTCATTCGTTATAAGCACACCATACAAACTAAGGGTGGTTAAGACTTTGGGTAAATAGCTCATTATTTGATATTCTATCAGTGATAAATATATCAATATCTCCGAAACTTTTTATGATCACAAATTTCATTTGGTTGTAGCATCATTCATTTTTTTTCATCGTTTCATCGTGCTATTTTTTTCGGCCTCTAAAGTTTGATATTTAGAGCTCATTTGGTGACTCTGTTTTTTGGCTTATCTGTCTTTTTAGCCAACTTTTCGACCTAAAATGTAACTTTTGATTTCATGCGCTGAATTTTGTAACAGTAAGGTTGAAGTTATTTTTTCTGACTGTATAGGCTGCCGTTATTGTAGAAAAACACTCTAGCTATTTTCATATTATTTTACATGTTTTTTTTGGGGAAAATTTTATTTTACATATTTATTCATTTTATTGCCATTGTTTTTCAAGAACTTAATTTGATGTGCTCCGTATTTATTTATGTAGGCATTACTACAGGTGCACCCACAAATTCGACCAGAATTGCCAAGCAACCAAACAGGTGCAAAGGATTCAGGAGAGCCCTCCCCACTACCGCACCACATACTTAGGCAAGCATACGTGTACAGAATTCCTAAAATACCCTCCGGCTATCAACCAGCCCACCTCATACATGGACTCCTCAACTCTAGACTGTGTTGGACAAAACGGTCAAAGTGAGCAGGGCGAGCCTGAGGGTTTGTACGAGGCACATAACAATCATCTGGAATCGACATTCGGATTAGTGTCTTGCCATACGCGGCCTACAATGTCTTCAGGGTCGGGATACAGAGATTTGATATCTTCTGGGTGCACCTATGATTTGACTACGCCACATATCATGGCCACGCCTGATATTGATGAATTCACTTTCGAAAATTTGCAGGAACTGTGCTAGCCCCACCCCACCCCTCCCCACCCACAATTTCTTTAGTCTTAGTCGGTGCCGGGTTCTCAGAGATGGAGTGTAATCACTAGTGGAGTCGGGACACTGGACCGGACTAGATCGGTACAAAGAATATTTTTAGAAAAAAATTTACAAGAAATTTTTTACCTTAAAAATTAAGTCGTTTTTAAAATTTGGGGTGGACCATGGCCTAGGTTGGCCAACCCCTAGCTCCGCCCATGGGTGTAATTTTTTTCGTGTTATAAGTTATATAGATGTATACTATTGATCGTATAACTTTGATGACTTCCATAATTTTGCAACAATTTTGTCCACATTACTCGTTTTTCATCGGAACGGGCTGTTTCCGGTGTAAAACCATTCAATGTGAGCAAACTCATTAATTATAGGGCATGATCTGTAAACAAAGTGATTAATTAAAGAAAGTCACGAAATTAAACATGTGATTCTCTCATTTGTATTGAAAGTATCATTGTCGTAACTTGACATGTACATGTAGACTTGTATGTGTTTGAGATTTTACATGTAGACTTGTATCTGTTTGAGGTTTGAGTAAATCATCATCATCATTTTCTCGGTGCCGAAAAGGCTTCCACTTATGGTGGGGTAAGGGGTGGGCGGATCACGGATGTACGCAGTATTACCTCTGTACTAAAGTACAGAGACACTGTTTCCAGATGACCCATAGTGAAAATCGCGTTCAAAAATTACATGGACTGACTAGTGCTTCATAATAAAGAATTGCAGACAGTTTAGTGAACCATTTTGCTTTATTCCATCATATTCTCAAGTCAAAATACAGTGAGTCTTTGGCTCCATTACAAATAATGGAAAGTGAGGTTCTAGTAATTAAATGGATGGAATAATTAAAATAACATCTCTCTTTGAAGGTTGTTTTAGGGAAGATCGAAGAAAGACAAATTGAGGGTGCATGAATTATAATTTTGACCTTTTAAGTGTTTTTGTTATAATGATATAACAAAAAAGTAAAGAACATTAAGGTTATTGGAGAAATATTTGTTTTTTATTGTTATTCCAAACTCTTACTAAGCATTATACGGAGTATGAAAGTAGAATGATGAATGATGATTTAGCAAGGTGGATATACCAAAGTGATTTGACTTCGTAAAATAAAAAAAATAACAAGAATATGAATTAAAGAAATGGTAGAGGAAAATTTTATTCATTTTACCTGACTTGTGAAGTGTACCTAAGTTGTAAGAGTATCATTTACCCTTGTGAATTTTACATTCCTTCAACGCACATTTACTCATGATCACGCGATGAAATCTTCTTATGAAATCAAAAGAATGCCAGTGGCCAACTAGGGTGGAGATTGGGTCCCATCCAGCCCAATCTATCTCAAATTTTAAAAATGCTTATTTTATAGTATAAAAAATTATGAAATTTTTTACAAGTAGTCTAAAAAGGAAAAATAATATCAGTTTTTCACATTTTAAAGTTTCTTTCAAAAATAGACTAGTCAAAGTTTTTTTTTTCTTTCAAAAATAGACTCTAAGCCTTTAACACCCTGAATCGTAAAACTTTAGTCTCCAACGTATGGTTAGTGCATATCCTAAAATCCTAACACACACGAAATTAATGAGTTGAAAATAGAATCAATATAATAAACGTTACAAATGTAAAAATGCTACGAAGCGTAAAATCTTTCTAAATATTGAGCACATGTTTTTATAAAAATCCATGATAGCTTTGACTTACTAATAAACAAAATTGTAAAATATTGTTAAAAAGTAGAACAATTTATAAAATCAATTAATAAAAAAGTTGTCTTTGTAGAGTTCTAAAAATAAAATTAGATTTTAATAAATTAAGAACTCTAAGTAAATATTAATTGAATTCAAAACATGGAAACTTGTTAATTAGATATAAAAATATAAAATAAGAGGAATTTAAATTTTACAAAAAAATGAAAAATTATAAAATGTGGAAATCTTAAAATGAAGAACTCAAAAAGTAACATATAAAAATTAAAAATAGTTAAAATGTGGGAAAATTGTAAAAAGGTCCAAAATATGGTCTTATTAATGTAATGTTTTTAAATAGTTAATCAATAACATTAAAATTATAAAAAATACTTAAAATAAGATAAAATTGTTTTGAAACTATTAAAAAATATGAATACTAATCGGAAACTTCTATGGTAAAGTAATTATTTTGAGAGAAAAAAAAACATATTATAGAAAATAAAAATCAAATAAATATATAAAATTTGAAATCATTCAAAAATTAATTTAAATTAAATTTTAAGAAATAATTTAACCTAAAAGAGTGTAAATTTGAAATAAACTCAGAGAATACAAATATGAACAAATTAAAATAATGAACTTCAAAAACAAAAAAAAAATTGAAGGATAAATAATACGAATTTTCTAATATATTATTTCTTAAAGTACTTAAACTTTTTAAATTATTATGGATTATTATGATTATTACTATTATTATTAGTTTATTAGTTTTTGTTGCCTAGTGTTTCTATGTGTTTCTTTGTGTTTGTAATTATGAATTTTTTGTTTCTTATTGTTTCTTTGTGTTTCTAGTTGTTGGTTATATTCATAAATCTAAATTTATCATTTTAGTTGTTTGAATATAAATTTATACAGATTTTTGTTTAGATTTTTGTTTAACAAAACATTGACAATAATTGAGATATTGGTAACACATATTTCCTTGTATAAATCAATGTTTAGATAAGTGAAATAATTTTTTTTTTGTTAACAAAAATCCATTATTACATGAGAAAGTCTTAGCAGGAATAATATAATAAAGTTACTCATATCATCCCCAACAATAGCATTTCCAAAGCAATTTCATTCTCTAATTTAAAACAAGCTAGTATTTTTTTTAATGAAGTACTAATTTAAAACTACATAGTCCGTATGTGTTAGCTGTTTTTTTTTATTCCAGGGGGCGTCTGGTGGAGCGGGTTGAGGGAGCCTGGAGTAATATAGGCTGAAACTCACTCCATTCAGTTTCGAACCCGAGATCTCCCGTAAGAGAGACACTACAAAAAAACCACAGGATTGGCAGAGATTTTGGCAAGGATTTGGCAGGGATTTTGGCAGGGAAATGCTAAATCCGTGCCAAAATTACTTTGGCACGAGCCATTTGACACGAAAAATCGGTAAGTTCGTGCCAAATTCCGTGTCAATCCCGTAATTTTTTTGTAGTGAGAGTGAGTCGGCTTAGCTGTTTATACAAGTTGCACTATCTTGTAATATATTATTTTTGTTCCTTCTCTTTTTTATATATATCATATTATTTCATGATTTGAGCGATACATATTGCAATCATTGTAGATCATTGGTGGTTATCCTCTATATAGTCTATATGTTCTATGGAAGTGATGCACCAAAGATGTGACCCAGGCCACATACATTCTCTTTGACTTTATTTAAAATAATTAACTCTTGGATCATGAGTGATGAAGTGGCTAACAATGTATGGTTTCTTCAATGCCAAGAAGCAACAATACAAGGGTAAGTAAACATATATGGTGGCTTTTTGTGAATGAATAAATGTCTAGCAGATTGTAATTTGTATAGCGGTATTTGAAAACATGTCTTGAGGACGTTCTAACGCATTCATCATATCATTTTGAATAGACAAACCAAATATACCCAAATAATAAGAGGTTTTCTGTTAATAACCCAATCAATTATGAGGAAAATACGTGAAATTGCATTGTTAATTAAGTGACAAATGGAGAATTTTTAAAAAATTACAATACGCACTACGGAATAGCGCACGTGAGCATCCGAATAGCCAACCCAATGAATCTTGAATTCTTTATTCGTTCGTAAATAATCATATTTCATAAGTTGCTCGTGATTAGCATTAGATATGTTTTACACCATCTCACTAATGAAAAGATGTTTAAATAAATTCTTATTAATAGAATAAGTAAATATAGAGAAGAACGAAAATCTCATTGTTGTAGAGATTAATAATGGATTCTTTTTTGTGAAAGGAAATAGCTTAATTTAAAATCAAATGTAACAAAGCAACAATCATGTCTCAAGATCTAGATCTCCCTCTATCCAAGCAATACCAAAAGCCCTTCGCCCCCTCACGTCACGATCTGACATAGAATAGTGCACCTCGAAAAGAGCAAAACTAATCGATGAAACAATGAGAGGATAGAGACTATTAGCGGCTGAGTCAGCCTGATTGCCTCCAACAAGAATTCTATCCAACAAACAAAACCAACACACGTACCCTTCCCCCTTATGGTACGACAAAATAATGACGCGAAAAACAAGCAAATTGAGTCTGAAATGAAAAACAAAGTAAAAACTCATAGATTCTCCTGCTTCCACCCCTTCTGAAGCCCTAGTCGAACAGATCCACTCTTTAATCTTTGAATTCCAAACCCTGGCTCCACGATCGCTCCAAGGCGGCGGTTCGGGAGGTGGACGGACCGTCAACACCTCATATTCCTCCATCTCCATTCGACCATGCGATTTAGATTCCATTACGAACAGAAATTCCAGCCGCTTAGTTTGCATGAGATTGGCCAGAACTTGAGCAGTGGCGAGAATCCCCGATCCCCAACAAATCCAATTAACTAATCCCATAATATGAGAAAAAACGGATTGAAATCACTTCACTGAGCCTCCTCAATCGTCACGCACCACACTGGTCCCAATCGGACTTTCGCTACTGAGATGCACGCCTCCGCCACAGATTTCAGAAACGCCTGCGTAAGAATGGCCTCCCCCGTGCTTCCAACCTTCTCACCGCCTGCGTAAGAATGGCCCTAAAACGATCCACCGTATCGGACAGACGCCAGAAGCTTCGTCCCAATAATTTATGACATGTGCTATGTTGATGATGGCCGGGTGATGACAACAAAATCAAGAGAATAAAGGGTCCAAATCAGCGTGAGAGTGGAAACCAAGACTGCCATGGGGCCAAACATCCACAACATTATGGGAAATGACATACAAAACATTCTATTTGCTATCAAGGAAAACATGAATCCCCGTTCCAACACTATTTGTATGTATAACTGCGATGATGGGCATGTTGAAAACTCTCCCAATGCATTCACCAAAATGTTGGCATCGACAAAGTACCCAATCGCTAAGGAGCTGCACATGAAGCTGACCAGTAAGAAAAAGGTAGTGGTGCAGAACTTTAGCATGATGATGTCATTGGAATGTTGTAGCCCCAACAATGGGGCATGAAGGTAGTGGTGGAGAGATGTAACATTGAAGACGTTGTTAGTGAGAGCTGCTAGTGAAATGACCACTATGATAGTTATAGTAGCTGTGAGGATTGTTTCCATTAAGCCGTTTCTCAAGCTTTGCACGACTAACATTCCATTCTTTTCATTTTCCTGAAATTAATAAGAAAATAAATGGAGTTTTCTATAAACAGGGTTACATACACATAGATACATACACACATTCATATAAAAATACAAACATATATATAGGAACTGATTGTGATACAAATAGTGTTTCTCAAGTACAATACGCATGGATACAATAGTTTTAGCTGACCATATATAGGATGGAGTATATGGGTCCAATATAGATATCAATGTAATTTCACATTCAAAGTGATGCACTTTTTATGGTTACAAAAAATAGATTTATTTATTGAAATGCCAAGGTTTTAAACCCAATCGATGCATTATTGACATATTTAGAACCTCTAGATCCTTCAAATCAATGCTTCGTATTACTGTACATACATATTGCATGTGGAATGACTTTTAATTTGAACTAGAACAAATACAAGATTGAATAAAAAGACACTTAACATTCAAAGTATGAATTAATTATAGTTATGTATTATAAAGGTTCATTTTTATCAAGTTTATTTTGGTAATTGAGTTCCCACTTTCCTGAAATATTTCATATTAAAGTTCATGTTTCTATTTATAGGAAAACAAATTGTCCAAACTGTCATTCCCCTTTAACTTTATCCGCCCACTTAATCCCCTACCCATACCCACCATTTACCCTCTCTTTCTACATCTTATCTTCTTTCCTCTTTTGGAACCATATACTTCATCATCTCTCTTCGTCGTTGCCTCCCCTTTCTTCTACTCACCGGCGTCCTCTCTCTTTTTCATTTCATCCCCTTTCTTCTGCTCACTGACGTCCTCTTTCTTCGTCGTTGCCTCCCTTTTCTTCTATTCGGTCCTACTCACTTGTAATGGGCTTGGAATATTTTGTCGGTGGATCCACTAAACCTCCTTCCTTAGATGGTGGATCTGAACTGCCATCTCCTCACCCGATGGATTCATCCTCTACAACTGTAGATCTGAAACCTTCTCCTAAATCAGATCTAAAAGACGATTGCCTTCCATTTAGAATGTTCATCGTTCGTTTCGGATATTCTAGTTCATCAGAGACGGATCCTGAATACTACATGCGTAAGAAATATGGTGACCACCTAGTTTCTAAGAAGTATGATGGGTTCGAGGGCTTTGACGAGGAAAAAGGAGAATAAGTGAGCTCGGCACCAGTGGCAGAGGAAGAAGAGGAAGGGAATGACAGCGATGCAGAAGGGAGAAATGAAGGTCTGCGAAAGCGGTAAGGGCTAAGCTCTGGACATGTTGATCTGAACAATACTCTTTAAGGACAGTACACACATGTTTTCTTTCTCTCCTCATTTATGTGTTTGTTCTGATTTCATGTTGTTTGCCTTCGTGTGTGAAATCATCAACAACACTCCTCCTTTGTTGCTCTGACGCCAATTTGAGTGCCCAAGATTAAGCGGAATTCGGTCGGAGGTTCACTGGAAAAATAAAGACACAGTACACACACAATATAATGAAGAAGATCGAAGAAGAAGCTCACTTGTGTATCACTTTAACTCAACTTAAAGTCTTACATGGTGACCTTTATATTGACAATACAAAGGATAAAAAATGTTATACTAGTTTCTAGAGGTCTCTTTAATTTTCTAGGGATGCTTGTTTAGGATGTTTTCTTTTGGACTGTTTCAGTCTCAGACCAAACCAGATCAAACCAGATTTAAACAAATCAGACCAGACCAGACTTGGAAAGTTATAAAATACACAGAGACCAGACAATTACCAGACCAGTTAAGACCAGATCAGACCAATCGAGACCAGATCAATTCAGACCAGATCAGACCAAAACAGTTCGGATCAGATCAGATCAGACCAGACTTATACAGATCATGCCAGATCAGATCAACCCAGACCAGAACAGACCAAAAAAATTCAGTCCAAAAGAAAATATCTGTAATTCACCTAGACAACCTTTCAAATTTTCTAGGCATCAACTCCTATGTAACTTTATTTCCCATGCAACATAATTTATTGCAAGAGACTTCATTTATATTCCCATATTCGAATTTATATCCAATAACTTTTATTAATGAAATCATTTCATTACTTAGAAAAGAAATAAGAGTACCTTCATGCATTTGATTGGTCTAATTAAATTACGGAGTAGTATGATTTAAACTTCTATTTATAATTATTAAATTATTCAATTGTGATATTTTAATTGATCGAGAAGGAGTAGAAATATTTATGAAGAAAGAATACTGTCAAAATAGCCAGGAGTAAATAAAATACTCCGTAAAATGGTATGCAATGATGGGTGGTATGTACACATATACATAAATGATCGAATTGAAAGACACGCCTGATCGTAATGCTGAAGCCAGGATCTGCGCTGAAGCATGTTGATGCCGGCGGAAGTGGCGGCGGGATTGTGGTTGAGGCGGCGGAAGAGATAGACATGGTAGCCGACGGTGAGGAAGAGGCTCACCGGAACCAATATGCTGTCCAATAACACCCCCGTGAAGACGTATGATGATGCCATTTTTTTCGTGCCAAAAATCGGACGGCCAAATATCTTCGGCCACTTTGATTTATTTTATTGCGGGTACATATAGATCGGTATATATGATAGGGAGTACCAAATAAATATAAATGTAATGCTTTTCCTTTTCTTGGTTAGCTGGTGGATTTCATTGTCATCCCATCATCGATTAATATAAGAAGTTGCGTCATGAGTCATCGTGACCATAAAAATATAGCAAACTAAGATCATATCCAATAGGCTGATCCTCTCCATCCTACTTTGGATAGAAAAAATCTCACTTTAATGTGTTTTTCTTGTCATGTCATTGCCATATAAACAAAATCAAAATTTACTAATTCTTCATCAACCATGATCTCTATGACTATTAAATAAAAGTTATGATTGCATAACTATTTATGCAACATAACTTTTTCATATTTTCAAAAAGTATTTTAGTCATTCTAAAAAAATAAAAGTTATGATTGCATTAAATGTGTTTATTGAAATTTGAGAATAATCTAAGATTCAATATTTGATAACAGATTTTTTATCTAAATAATTTTTTAAAATAATCTCATCTCATCAACCATAATTTAAAACAAAATATTCCACATCATCAAGATGATCTCCAAAAAATCTCATGGATGTGGATGCTCTTGTCTCCTTTCTTATTGATCTCGTTTTACCATAAGCAATGTACAAATTAATTTGTAGGACGAGTGAAAAGTTAAAACTGTGTTGTAAACACTGAACCGGGAGGCGAACCAGACAAATGACCGGGTCAAGGGTACTAGTCAACTCGGACCCGCACTACAAAATAATCACGGGACTGACAGAGATTTTGGCAGAGATTTGACAGAGATTTTGGTAAAGAAATGCCAAATCCGTGCCAAAAACACTTTGGCACGAGCTATTTGGCAGAAAAAATCGGTAAGTCCGTGCTAAATTCCGTGTCAATCCCGTATTTTTTTTTTGTAGTGCCGGAGGGTCAACCCGGCCAACACAATATATATGTAGTAATATAGATATGGTTAAATTTGTAAAGTAAAATGTATTTCCATTCCTCATTAAAAAGGTATTATTATCTAGTACACATTTAAGCAAATCATGAATGTATTTGAAACTAGAAGAACAAAAAAATAAACATAAAATTAATTATAAATCTTAAAAATCTTATGTAAATATGTTTTGCACTTATATTTGGAATCTTTAATACGTATCAGGCAGTCAGGCACTATATAATACTACATCCGTCAGGAGTAACATTATTATTATGTATTATTAGTTTTCATGTTATTAGTATTATTAATTATTAATTATTACTACCTTCGTCCCACTAACATTGGGACGGAAGAAGGTGGCGGTTATTATGAAAAGTGAGTTTATGTGGTTGATATCGAATTGATAAAGTAAGAATGATTAAGAGCACACAAACTTTACCAAATATGGTATGAAACAATCTTAGTGGATTTCCCGAAAAGGTAAAACAAGATAATCTTAGCGGGACGGGGGAAATAATAAATAAATTAGGAGGCCTTAAGATGGAATGATCCTACGTGTTTAGAAACAGTAACTATTATGAGGAAGAATCTAATTACAACAAGTTGCAGTATAATGATGTTTTTACTTGGACTGTAATTTGCTGGTCTGGTCTGGTCTAGTCTGGTCTGAACTGATCTGGTCTGGTTTGGTCTGATCTGGTTTCTTTGTATTTTTATAACTATCCAAGTCTGGTCTGGTATGGTCTGAACTGGTCTGGTCTGATCTGGTTCGATCTGGTCTGGGACGAAATACCGTCCAAGTAAAAACATCCTAAGAGTTGGACTATGGTGCATAACAAATGTTTGAGGTCTGTCGTTCGACCTCAAATAATAGTTATCAAAAATTAAAACTATGAATAAAACATGTATGTTAGGTTGTTTTTACATGGACTCTAATTCGTCCCAGACCAGACCAGACCATATTATTATTATTATTATTATTATTATTATTATTATTATTATTATTATTATTATTATTATTATTATTATTATTATTATTATTATTATTATTATTATTATTATTATTATTATTATTATTATTATGATCATCGTCGTCATCATCATCATTGTTATTGTTATTAGTATTATTACTATTATTATTTTTAATTATAAATGAATAAAATATAATTATTTATGGATTATAATATATATAAAAAATAAAATTTTTATGCAAAAAATATAAAAAATAAAATTTCAGACCAGACCAGACAATATTTTATTATTATTATTATTATTATATTATTATTATTATTATTAGTATTATTTTTAGTAATATTATTATTATTATTATTGTTGTTGTTGTTGTTGTTGTTGTTATCATTACTGTTATTATTAGTATTATTAGTATTATTACTATTATTATTTTTAATTATAAATGAATAAAATATAATTATTTATGGATTATAATATATACTATCCTCCGTATCTCATTAATTGCAACATAGGAATATATACACTATTCATGTACTTTACTTTGACTACATTTTATTTATTAATGTATGTGATTTTTTTTTAAATGTTGTTAAATTCGTCTCATTACTAAGTTTTATAATCTGATTTTTATTTTATTTTTACTAATATAGAATTAAATATAATGACGGTCAAAGTTGTGCGTTGGCAAACGTGAAATGTTGACTGTTGCAACTAAAAAGAGACGGAGGAAGTATAAAAAATAAAATCTTTATGCAAAAAATATAAAAAATGAAATTTCAGACCAAACCAGACCAGACTAGACCAGACCAAAATAGACCAAACCAGACCAGATTAAAATAGACCAGACCAGACCAGCAAATTACAGTCCAAGTAAAAACATCGTTAATACAAGTATGAGAACGATATTGTAATTCAATCCATATTACTGTCACCAAAATACGGAGTGTTACGTAGTACTATTCTAACTGGTTATTTAGTGCTTAAGGACTTCAGATTGTGGTGGAACCTCGTTTTGTAGATCTAGCACTATGGTAACTTCGTAGGTATAGGTTTAGAACTCGTATAGGTTCATAACTACCTTGACTAGTTTGACGATCCATTTTCATAAAGAATGACGAAATCAACTTCATTCTTTCTTGGCAATATCATTATTCATTCTAAACCACACTTTTGATATTGGTAAGAATAAAAAAGCTTCTTTAAAAGTATATAAAACAAATAAGCAAAGAGAAAAATATCAACTAGAAGGTATAGTATATTCCTAACTATCAGGAGAATAGAAATTACTTCAAATAGGACTAAAACAATATCAAAAATTCAAAACATGACTTCCTATGTTTTTATTCCAAAATAGGACCATATGAGTCCTATTTGGAAACATACCTATAGTCAAAAGCCATAATTAAATATTTAATTCATAATAAATTCTAAAAAAATCAAATATTCGTAGAAAAATAATTAAAAAAATTACAAAATATTTATAAAATAAAAAATTCAATTTTTTAATAATTTTTTTTAAAAAAAATTAATAAAAAATAGTAAAACTCCATAAAAAAATTAAAAAAATAGAGATGCCTTTCCCACCGCCTGTACTACCTCCCTGCACCACCACCTCCGGCCAGTGAAAAAAATGCCATTTTTCCTAAAAACTGCCATTTTTTCTGAAAATGCCAAAAAGTGGCATATTTCTCTTTGCGAATGCCAACATTTTCATTGTTTTTTGCCATAAATATGGCATTCGTAATGAACTTGGCATTTTTCCCCCTGGTGACTGGAGGTGGTGGTGCAGAGGCGGCGGTGAATTTTATTTTGTTAATTCATTAGTTTTATATGAATTAGTTTATTATTATTATTATTATCGAAATATTTTTATTAGTTTTTTAGTAATAATGTAATTATATAAGGATTACTGTGTAATTTCCCAAACTGATTTTAGTATAAATATAACGTCAAGGCACCCAATAGGGTAAGCCATTATTTCCCAAAATTATTGTTTTGTATATGGTATCAGACTAGGTTTTCCTTTACCCTACATGTCCGGCCAGCTCAACCCTACGGCCGCCTCAAGCACGGTGCCCGCCACGGCGGCGCAGCCTCTCTCTGGCGTACCCCCGAACGCTGCGACAACGCCAACTGGTGAGTTCCCAGTCCTCTCTGGTTCGAGCAGCACTCCAGCTTCGTTTCTGCAGGGCTCCACGCCCACTGCGTGATGCACTTGAACTTGAAAATCAAGATTTTTCAGAGTGATGGTGGTGGTGAATTTGACAATACTATTTTTAGAGAGCATGTTTTAAAATCCGGAATTTTATTTAGAAAATCTTGCCCTGAAACTCCAGCTCAAAATGGTGTTGCGGAACGAAAACACAAACATCTTCTAGAATTAACCAGGACTATGCTTATTGATTCTTCTGTTCCTAGTAAATTCTGGGTTGATGCACTTTATACTGCTACTTTTATTGTTAATCGTCTTCCTACACCTATTTTGAATGGGATTACTCCTTATGAGAAACTCTTTAATAAAACTCCAGATTATAACTTTTTGCGTGTCTTTGGCTGCTCATGTTTTCCAAATTTTATTGCTGCATCTCATAATAAGCTATCACCCCGCTCCGTTCACTATGTTTTTATTGGCTATGCACCGGGATACAAGGGCTATCGTTGTCTCTCTCCTTCTACTGGACGTGTCTATGTTAGCCGGGATGTCACTTTTCATGAAAATGTTTTTCCATATCCCACCTTAATCTCTTCCACCCAAACCACTGCCTCCGACTTATCACCCTCCTTGTTGTCAACCTCATCAAGCCAACCATACCCTTCCCAACCTGCCCCATTGCCCTTACCCTCTCCTTTGTCCCGCACCTATACCGAGTCAATCCCACACACACCATCTCCCTTATCCCCAGGTCATATATCCCCTGCGGCAGCCACACCACCCCACTCCCCCACGGATTCTCCTATTCCCAGCCCGCCATCCACACCTGACAGCATGCTGCCCAGCTCCACTGCCAGTTCAGTCCACTCGTCTAGCCCTGTACCGTCCGTCGTTACTCCCCTTAACCTTCATCCCATGTGTACCCGTGCTAAGGATGGCATTTTCAAGCCCAAACAGAGTTTTAATTTAAGTATTTTTTTCTCCCCCGGTTGATCCAACTTGTTTTACACAGGCAAATAAAAGTGAGGTTTGGCGAACAGCCATGGCAGATGAATTTAATGCTTTAATTGCTAACAAAACTTGGGACTTGGTACCTTGGGACCATACTAAAAATGTGGTTGGTTGTAAGTGGATTTATAAGACAAAATATTGTTCTGATGGGTCTGTTGAATGACATAAAGCTCGCTTAGTTGCTCAGGGGTTTAAACAATAGGCTGACATTGATTTCACCGAAACATTTAACCCTGTGATTAAACCCACTACTGTTCATCTTATTTTATCTGTTGCTATTTCCCTGGGGTGGTCTGTCAGACAACTTGATGTGAAAAATGCTTTCTTACATGGCTATTTAACTGAAGAAGTTTACATGCGTCAACCGCAGGGCTTTATTCATCCCTCTTTTCCTAATCATGTGTGTCATTTACGCAAAGCTCGTTATGGTCTAAAACAAGCTCCGAGAGCTTGGTTTCATCGTTTCAGTGGTTTTTTATTGAGTCGGGGTTTCACACAAAGTAAGTCTAATTCTTCTATGTTTGTTTATCGTTCTCAGTCACAGGTTGTTTACATTCTTCTGTATGTGGATGATATTCTTATTACTGGTTCTTCTTCTTCTTTTGTTATGTCTGTTATGCATACATTATCTCTTCAGTTTGCCATGAAAGATTTGGGCGATGTTCATTATTTCTTGGGTATTCAGGCCAAGCGCACGCCCAACGGTTTGTTTTTGTCACAGGCTAAATATTTTTTTTATCTCTTGCATCACTTTCATCTCCATACAGTTAAGCCTGTTCGCACCCCTCTTCCGTCACATACCACCCTTTCCCTCACAGATGGGGAACTTTTATCTGATGCAACTGAGTATCGCAGTATGGTAGGTGCTCTTCAATATTTAATTATAACTAGACCTGATATTACATATGTTGTTCATCTGGTCTCCCAGTTTATGCATGCTCCTCGTACTACTCATTTATTGGTTGTCAAGAGAATTTACAGGTACTTACAAGGGACATCAGCTCACGGCCTATGGCTCAAATCAGACAAAAATATTTCGGTTATTATGGCTTATTCTGATGCAGATTGGGCCGGATGTCCTGACAGTTCTCGCTCCACTACTGGGTATGCTGTATTCCTTGGATCTAATCTCATCTCTTGGCGGTCTAAAAAGCAGCCCACCGTGTCCAAATCTTCCACAGAAGCAAAATACAGGGCCATAGCTTACACTGTTCGGGATACACTTTTTATCAGGTCACTATTAGCTGACATGGGAATCTATATTTCGACTCCAGTACAACTCCATTGTGACAACGTCTCCGCTTCATACTTAGCCGTTAACCCTATTCAGCATGATAGGAGCAAGCACATAAAAATCGAGTATCATTTTGTTCGAGAGAGGGTGGCTCATGGAGATCTTGTTGTGAAGTACATTCCTACCCAGCTGCAGTTAGCTGACATCTTTACCAAAAATTTGTCTAGTCAGCGTTTTGAGTTTTTACGTTCCAATCTGCGCGTTGTATCCCCTGCACAGATTGAGGGGGTATAATAATGTAATTATATAAGGATTACTGTGTAATTTCCCAAACTGATTTTAGTATAAATATAACGTCAAGGCACCCAATAGGGTAAGCCATTATTTCCCAAAATTATTGTTTTGTATATTTTGTATTTTTTACGATTTTTAATTATTTTTTATTATTTTATTATGAATTAAAACATTTCAATAGCTAGAAGGGTATATTTGTCCAAGACACACATAATTAGTCCTATGAAAACATACTTTAGTTTTTGGTCCTATTTATGCAAAGTGAGTCATTTTTAGTCTTATTTTGATAATTAACTCTTAGGAGAATTTAAGGTTTAGGCGCAACTAGTTACACATGAAATATTCTCTACATTTTCTGGTGTTTGGCATTAAAGTTTAGCTTTATATATGGACGAAAATATACTTCCACCGAAGGCACTGACCTAAAAGTTGTAGTCAATTACGGGAAGCAATTCATTTGTTTTTTTTGTACTTTAAGCAATTCATATAATTATCAAATACGGAGTACATATTTACTTTAAATGTACTCAATAACGTGTGGGATTGTTTCTTGGACGTGTCATGCTAAAACGTTGGTACAATATTTTCCCAATTTTGCTTTGGGTACACACTTTTCATACACACACATACACTATAAATAATCTAAAAATTACGTACCATTTTTTACCCCCTCCCCTCCCTCACGTGTGAAACAGCCCACTCACCCCCAAGATTTTCTCCTCTCTTCCCGCTAGCTTCCTTCTTTTTTTCTTCTTCCCACAGCAGCTCAACGCATACAACCCCCAACTTTCTTTCTTCTTCTCTTCAAAATCAATGGGCTGAAACAACAGGTGGTTCTCGAGTTGAAGGAGATATTCTTGTGGTGGCTGAACTTGACGGAGAACTGGCGGCGACGGCTGAACTTGACAGAGAACCGGCGGCGGTGGCGGCTGAGCTTGACAGAGAACCGACGGCGGCGGCTGAACTTGACGGAGAACCGGCGGCGGCAGCGGCCATGGACGAAGTACCTAAGCTTGGTATGAGTTTGTGTTGTTGATTTCATTGGCTTTCAACTTAAATATATCGTTGTTCTTCAGATAATTCTCTGTATTTGTGTAGTGTATAATATCGTCTGTGTGTTTGTGAAGTGTATATAATCTTGTTTGTGTTCAAAATGTTATAAATTTACTTATGTCTGTGTGTAAATAAACTCATATTTGAAATGTCTGTGTGTAAATATATTTGTGTCTGTGGGTATATGTACTTATGTCTATGCGTAAATCTACCACTGCCTCAGTGTAAATGTACTTATGTTTGAAATGCATAAATTAACTTATGGTTTATGCGAAATGCGTAAATAAAGATTCACTTCATTATAATTTTTATTGTGTTCTAAGTTTGTTTTACATTGTAAAGATTCACATTTCAGTTCAAATTTTGTTCAACTATTCTATTTCATTATTATGCTCATAAGGTGTTTGTTGAAATGCTTCAATGATCTTCTTTATTCATATTCACGATTTTGTGAGTTCATTCTCCCTTTTTGCTAATATGTTTTTATGCTTGATGGAGTTTACTAATTTTTACAGTTTAAATTGGGTTGTCAATGAATTTAAATGATCTTGATAGGTTTTTTAGAAGCATGGATCAAGATACTGAGTGTGGTCAAATTCTGCCATGTTTTTTATCTTTGTCATCTGCATGACTTTACTGTACTCTCTATCGAACCATCATATATTTGCTTTGATGAGTTAATGCTTAAGTTTCAATCTTTGTATCACACAGTTCACACTGTTGTTTTTTCATGCTTAAAATGATGTGTGTGCAATAAGCAGCAGGGTTGTGTGCAAAAAGTGCGGTTAGCAGCCTTGCAGGATGGGAAGGCAGAGCTCTTGGCTGCAGGGCACTTCTTGCTTGCGGCAGTACGAAAGAAAACACCCAGCAGGAAAAAAATGTACATTTTGGGAGTGAAAAAAAATGCTAGGAAAGGAGCTCTTGGCCGCAACAAATCGGAAGAAAAAAAACCATAGCTTGTTATTATGTTGAATGAATATATTTGAATTATAAATATCCATGTATTACTTTAGTTCCTCCATATGGATGGGAATTATGAAAGTTAATACGATTTCTTATGTTTGTTTCTCTTTTATGACATTATTATTAAAACACAAGTAATGCTTTAATCACGTGCAGATAATATAAATGAAGACATGGATGATGCTTTGACTAAGTACAAACAAAATAAATGAACACAAACAATTATTATCTACGCACAAATAAAATAAACAAATGCACAAATAATATAACGGAGATATAAACGATGTTTTGACTACGCATAGACAAAATAAACAAACACATAGACAAAAAGTAGTGGTTTAGATTTAAATATTAGTTTGATGTAAATGTGCATGGCAGTTTTTAAAATATTTTTTCCCCTCAAAAAGTCTTATTCAAACTATACAAAAGCATATACATAGCACATACATATACACCACACATCACAGACAGCGTGTTTGTTCTTCACAGACACACAATATGTTTGTGACAGATATTATAGTGTACATAGCACAGACAAATACGCCACACCTCACAGACAGAGTTTTTGTGCTTCACAGACACGCAATGTGTTTGTGACAGATATTATAGTGTACTTTAACAATTTTTTAAAATGTTTTTTCTCAAAACGTCTTTTATTCAAACTAAGTCCTAGCAGATACATAGCATAGACAAATACGACACACATCACAGATAGAGTGTTTGTTCTTCACAGACACACAATGTGTTTGTGACGGACATTATAGTGTACATAGCACAAACAAATACGCCACACATCACAGACAGAGTTTTTGTTCTTCACAGACACACAATGTGTTTGTGATAGATATTATAATGTACATAGCACAGACAAAGTGGATACAAATCACAGACAAAAAAACTTTCTCCATTTATATGAACACCAATGACAGTTAGTGTTTCTCACACAAGCAAAAAGGCATACCAATGTACAACATTGGTAATATTTGGGAGTACATTCTAGGACAGTATACAACATTGTTATTGTAACATTGTACAACATCCTACATTTAACAACCAAACCCATGAAGGCCAAAACTAACCACCACAAAATGTATATAGTAAGGTTACATCAATGATTGTACATCCAAACCCATCATACACTAAACATTCACACCCATTAAAACTTGTCTAAGTTGATCGCTTCCTCAAACTCCAGAGCCTCTTTGTAAATTCACATCTTTTCGCTGCCATGTTCTCATACGCACACTCGGGCATCAAGGACAACTTCTGCAACAGTGACTCTGCAAATGTTGCCGCCATAACTTCGCAAACATCGGATCTGAAAATAATACAATTCATACAGACATTACATTTCTATGCACATACAAATTGTATTTGTGTACAGACAAAAAACGGGGTCTATTTGATGACCCGAAACAGAAGTGGAAGTCTGATACACAATGTGTTCTAATTATATTTTAATTAGTGAATTCGTTTTTAAATTTTTCTTTCAACAATCCGTATTATTTTAAGGTACCCGAGGTCCAAATTAACCAAGGTATTTTAAGTAATTTCCAAAAGTCCTAGACATTTGTTCATTTGAACCTGTTTGAGCCTTATAGCGTTGTGTAGAAGTACAAACATCATATTAGTCACACAGACATATGTAGAGTGATACAGACAATCATATAAGTCTTCACAGACAAATGGAGCCAGAGCCAATTACATATAACCTCACACAGACAAACACTTGGACAAATCTAACTTTACACAGACAATACATATGTCCTTCAACAGGCATAAAATCAACCTTACATAGACAATACATATTGTTCAAAATCCAAGCAATAGATGGGTTCCAATAAACTTGATAAATTGATAAACAATTACTCACCCTCCAAATAAACATCATCAACTACCCTAAAACTGAAAAAATTCCAAAAATACATGATACATACCTTTCGACCATGCTCGAAAGAGGGGTTCACACCATTTTCGACTGAGACGGGGAGGAGGGTTCGCACCTTTGAATGCGCAACAACGACGGTCGCCTTCTACGGGGATTGGCAGGGAGGAGGAATGCCTTCGACGGGGTCTGGCGGGGTTGAGTCGTGGAGGGTTGCCTTCGATGGGGGGTTGCAGAGGAGGAGGCTAGTCTTCGACTGGGGTTGTCGGGGATGAGGCCTTCGATGGGGGGTTGCAGAGGAGGAGGCTATTCGGGGGTTGGCGGCGACGACGAGCTTCCAGCGATGGGATTAATCGAAAGAACAAAGCAAGGGAGAAGGAGAAGGTTGTGGCGGTTCGAAGGAAGGGAGAAGTTGGGGATGCGCGACAAAATTGGGAGCGGGAGTGTTTTTTTGAAGTGGCTAGAGGTGAGGGAAAGGGGGACAAATTATTTTTGTGGGTATTTATAGTGTGTATGTGTGTGTATGGAAAGTGTGTAACAATAGCATTTTTTATATAAGATGTCTACGACACCATATTTTCTTCACACACACATGTTTTGTTTAAGAAGAAATTTAATAAATATAAATTTACGTGTGCGAAGAGTAAGTACTATTTTGATTGTTTTCTTAACAAAAAATGATTTCAAAATCAAAACCATGTGAATTTGAGCACCTAAGGATGCATAGTAAATTGAAGAAATGTGATGGTGTGAAGAATAAAAATAAAAAAGGGAATTTATCGAAATAGTTAGAGGTAATTATGGATGTTCGAAAAAAGGTTTCTTGAAAATAACTACACAGTTATCTTCAAGAATTCATTTGAATGTCTTCCCGATTGAAATTTTAGCTTAAATTTGGTAAGAGTAAATTAGACCTAATGAATAATATGCTGAAAAAATTGCATAAAAAATTTCCACCGGGAACCACCCCAAATAACGACGGCCCGACATAGCCTGCTATATAAAGGTTTATTTGACCTTTTTTTATTATTACATAAGCTTATTTGCCCCTTTTCTCTTAGAACATTAAATTAGTCCTAGTCTTTGTAATTAGGACATGGGCTTCTTTTTGTCATTGTAATCATACATAGATCGGTTTAATCCTGTCAGCAATATGGGTAGAAATGTAGAATTATTCTTCAATGATTCATCACAAAGTTCAACTAGTATAAGGAGGTGTTTGGAACTAGTTCTACTTCTTTTTTTTTAAGTAGAAGCCGAATCAAGATCAGCTTTCGAATGTTGGTCTCTTTCAACTTCTAAAAAAACTACTTCTAGGAGTAAATTAGAGCACCAGAAGTACTTCTGCATTTTCATCCAAACACACCAACTTTTACTTCTACTCTTTCAGAATATGGTTGGATCAATCACTTGTATGCCAAATCAGATAAATTTCATAGGAAGATAATGTTCAGATCTTATTATTCATATATCTATTCTATGTCTATAATTCACCTTCTTCATTTCACTATTTTCACTAAAAATAACCTAAGTTCTTGGTCAGTACAAAATGTCCAAACGAGCCCCAAGATTGAATGAAAGCAATCAGGAAGGCACCGTGAAATTGAAACGACACCGTTCTCATTTATTCCAACGTTCAACATCTTCGTTGTTTCCGTCCACCATAGTCTAGACTGACACTTCGCCGGAGAATTTCGCTCTTCTTTCTCCTTCCCTCCACCATAAGCACCCCCGCCGAAGCCACAAAAGCTGGAAAGTGATGGAAGAAAGAAGCTTGCGGTTTTCTTTCAGATTCGCAGTGCTACTAATCTATGTGTATGCTTCAATAAGAGTCGCCTCTGCTTCAATTCACGAGTACAGAAAGGAGCACTTCATTCCAAAGTCCAACGCCTTCTTCTTCCACGGAGGCACTGAAGGACTCTTTGCCTCCAAGCTCGACCAGTCGTCTGCTAATATGTCCATAGATAAACCCCTTAAAGGAAAATCTTTCATAAGGTTTCTTGATCTCTCTCACTATTCTCGAACTAACAATCGCTCAGGTCTATACATATATTTAAACGTATTTTGATCAATATGCTTGTGAACTTGTCTAGGTGATACATATATTTTATAAGATGGGAATTAGTTGCAAGTTTACCCTATGGATATGATTTTACAATGGATATGATTTCAGAATGGATTTAAGTTGTGGGGCATTTGGTTTTGCAGTTTTGTCATCCTCCTAGAGTCGTAGTCATATGTTACTCTGGGTGCCGTTGTTCTTGGTGAAAACAAAATAACATGATGATGCTGTTCTTCTTGGGATTTCAACTTCGGTTGAATTTTGCAGGTTTGAAGATATTACCTTTGTGAGGACAAAAGAATCGATTGATAGTAGAAGTGCCATGCGGAGTAAAAATGGTCTGGTTGAGGCCATCATTCTTGAGGTGAAAGACAGAGAAAGAATCGGAGGCTCATTTTCAAAGTCTAATGCTATATGTTGCACTAAAGAACTTGCTGATGAAAAATTATGTCCTGTAGGAGAGGTTGTGATTCAGAGAAATCCTGACAACCCAGAGTGGCCAAAACGCATCCAGATATTTTTCGAAGGAGATCACCAAGAAGCTAAAATGGATCCTCAATCTGTTGAAATAAACACTACGGGCATGTACTATCTCTATTTCATGTATTGTGATCCCCAACTACAGGGTACAGTCATGAGCGGAAGAAGTGTGTGGAAAAACCCTGATGGTTATTTGCCTGGGAAAATGGTTCCCTTAATGACCTTCTATGGAATTGCATCCTTGGCTTATCTCGTGCTTGGATTATTCTGGTTTGTAAAGTTTGTCCAGTACTGGAAGGATGTCATTCAATTGCATTCTCATATCACAGTAGTTATTGCTCTTGGCATGGTAGAAATGGCTCTCTGGTACTTCGAGTATACAAATCTCAATTCAACAGGAAAAAGGCCTATGGGAATCACACTCTGGGCTGTTACAGTTAGTGCAGTAAAGAAGACCTTGTCCCGTTTGCTTCTTTTGATGGTCTCCATGGGATATGGTGTTGTCAAGCCTACACTTGGTGGTGTCACCTCTAAAGTATATCTTTTAGCTCTGGTGTATTTTATTTCATTGGAGGCACTCGAACTTGTTGAACACTTAGGCAACATCAATGACTTCTCAAGAAAAACTATATTATATTTAGTATTGCCTGTCGCGTTCTTGGATGCCTGGTTTATTTTGTGGATTTTTTCATCATTATCTAAAACACTGGAAAAACTTCAGGTAAATCTTTCAGATACATCCATGATTTCTTCTCATTATATTTTTGTTTATGCATTTAATGCTATTTTATGTTAAAGAAATTGGTCAAAATAGGACTAAAACATAGACAATCTCCAAAAAAGGAGGAATATGTTTTATTCTCCAAATAAGACTTATTTAGTCCTATTAAAAGAATAAAATAAAACAACTTCCTAAACTAGGAGTGAATGAGTCATATTTGGGGAAGAAAACAATGACACTCCTATTTGTGGAATCGTGAATGTTTAAATGCTATTTAGGGAATTTTCCTTTATGTTAATATACCAAACATTTTAAATGATTTTATGTATAGGAGCTTATTAGTTCAAATTAACACGTACATATTAAAAAAAGATTACGTCCTCTGTCCCATAATGCAAGACACATGTGTGTTTGGCCCGAGATTTAAGAAAATAAAGGATAAAGTGAATGTTTTACAATAATAACCTCCAAAAAGTAAGGAAAAGTAAGATGGGGATGAAATGATAGATAAATGGATAAATTGGGTAAGTAAAAATCTATTGGAGTTCAATTTAGGAAGGTGCTCATATTTTTTGTACAACCCAAAAAGGAAAATGTATGTTACAAAATGGGACGGAGAGAGTAATATTCTAAAAGTAAAATAAAAGTAATAGAAGAATATATAAATAAATATTACCAACGCCCCCCCTAAGATTGAGACGAGGGATTGAAGCGGTTATTTAGAAAAACATAGTTATGTGGTTGTATTAATAAATTAATAAAGTGTGAACAAAGTAAGAATGAATTAGAGGAAGACAAATAATATGCTCCCCAATTATCAAATTAATAAAGCAGTTTCATATTAAACAAAAAACTTCTTTTTGTAGTTTTTTTGCTAGTCTTATCATATACTTTAAAAAATACATTAGATTATTAGTGTTTACCAAACACATGAATTAAGCATAACCCTTTTTAGATGTTCAAAAAGCTAAAAAAACTCTCCAAACCACTGTTTCCCTAAATAAGGCCACAGTTTATAATAAGTTGGCTTGTAAACTTATATTATCCAATTTCCTTTGCATAGATGGAACCTCATTTATGCTGTAAAGCAGATAGGGTTATGTATAGTTAAACTCTATGATGCTTGGGAACTCTTGAAGGGTAGCGTTTTTGCATGTAGAAAGAAACTTTTAGTGAACTCTAATCAAATCTTCATTGCAACTGTTTTCGTTTAAAAATGGCGTTATTCATATTTCACGTTTCTCATTTTACATGCCTGTAATGCATAGCTCCTATAATTAATTCCAGTCCGTGATTGTGGCCAATATTCTATCATCTGAAATGCATGACTTTTAGATACTGTTTTAACTATTTATACACACACTCAATTGAGCACTCGAGACATGTACCAATTCACCATTTCATGGGCAGATGCCTGAAGTTGTTTCTTTGTTCAAACTGCTATTTATTGCTCGATATGAATTAGAAAGAAAATATTTGCACTTGGTTTGTATGAAAAATGAATGCATTGAGCACATGTTAGAATGTCATTTTGTGTCTATTGAAGCCTTTCATCATGATTCTTAGTTTCTTAATTTTGGTTCTATTATCTGGAATATAGGTGCGCAAGAGCATTGCAAAACTGGATCTCTACAGAAAGTTTACCAACTCCCTTGCAATCTTTGTTCTACTCTCCATAGCTTGGGTTGGCTTTGAGGTAAATTATTACATTGCCATTACTACCAGCGATTTTGTGGGCATGAATTTGCTGTGTTTAGAGCAAGGAAATAAGAAGAATCCTCTATCAAAATGTTAGGGATGTCCATATTAAACAAATGCCATACAGTTTACTTTTTTTCCTGATTATATACTACATCAGTGAGTTAAGATGATCTTCAATATCTGATGTTCGATCAGCTATACTTCAATGCAAGTGACCCGTTAAGCGAGTTATGGCGATTTGCTTGGATAATTCCTGCTTTTTGGACACTCATAGCATTATCGTTACTGGTGGTCATATGTGTTCTTTGGGCTCCCTCACGCAATCCTACCAGGTACTTTTCTGAATAGTTGCTCTCATTACCACATTACCAGTAAAATTATTTTAACAGACGGATATCAGTCATTCTGAAAAACCATGATATTTTCCTGAAGAACACATTAAATTACTAAATTAGACTTGGGTACAAGGTGTGTAGCTGACCATGATGTATTTCTGAAAAACCACTCAGTTCGTCCAGATGCTCAGTAATATTCATACTTTTTTATAATGAATATTTTGAATACATCCCAACTTTTTCTAATTTGTTGTGAATAAATTGATTGGGGAATTTGTCTTTGCACCCTACTTTTTGGCTGATATTGCACTTTCCATCCCATTTTCTAAAAACTTTGACTTTGCACCCCATTTTCTAAAAACTTTGACTCTGCACCCTATTTCACTTAGAAATCCTTTGACTTTGTACCCCATTTAGAAATTTTTCTTCACAAAATGTTATATGATGGGGTGCAAAGTCAATTTTTTTTTCAAAACGGGGTGCAAAGTCTAATATTACTCGAAAAGTGGGGTGCAAAGTCAAATTCTCCCTAAATTGATCATGTCATGAGAGTCAGGATTCTGGATAACAACCAACTCAATTTCTTGATAAGTAATATCACCTTTAAACGAATCCTGGAGATACTTGGTCTATTTCCTGTTCATACAATTGAGTCGCCACTTAAATTGAATAATTGATAACTTCATATTTCTCACACTAATTGGTAGTGTGATATGGTAGGAAGAGGGGGCTTCACTGGGCCCCGGCCCACCCCAGTTATTGTTTAAACATGTCTCTTTGAAACAAAAGCAGTCAGAACAATGGGATAGGTCTGAAATACTTGCGTCATTAATTTTAAATGCATTTGTGTTTTGTTAACGTTTTTACTATTACGTATTAACTTTTTATATGAATGAATCAGTCTAAACTTTTAGTCAGGCTCACCCTGTGTGGCTGTGTCAATTCCCCACTCCGTCCCTCAGTGATATGAAAATAATAACAAGTTAAACATATGCTCATTCCTGGGAGCTAAGCTTCTTTACTTCATAAGATAGACGTAGCAAATTAGCAATGAACATCAGATATGCTGGGTAGAAAACAAAACCCAAAACTTGACTTGCTTGTGCAGTTTTCTACATATACCATTTCTGTCACTCTCTTATTAGGGGTTTCACGTAAATGTAAAATGTCAACCAATTGCAATTTGTTTTTCTGGTGTCCATGTAACTATCGGTTGCTGCTTTTGTACTGCTCTATATTACATAACTCCAGAAAAACAGTGTATTCCCTCCGTTCTTAAATACTGGCCATAATCTAAGTGTACTTTGATCACAAATAACTGGTCTGTTGAGCTCATCTTGGAACCCAGAGAGTACTAGTGAAAGAAACTAGGGTGGAAACTATAGAGGAAATTTGAAAGGAATGAAAATGCGAGGGGAAGTAAACATCGGCACAATCTCAAGTCCTCAACAAGTTTTATTTGTGATGTTTGTTCATTACCTCTAAAACTACATCGTGCAAGTTTTTCTTTAATGGGACACTAATTTTTAAATAGCAACTTAAACAGGAAAACTTAAGTGTAAATTAGTAATATTGTGTTATTATGCATGCTAGGTGATATTATATTCGAAGAGCTAATTCTTTCACTGAACTTTAGATATGCGTACTCTGGGGAGGCCGTAGATGACTTGGATGAAGAGGCTATTTCACTGACAAGCGCGGTGAGGGTAGTTGGCGAATCCGGAACGAAGTTTGAAAGGAAGGAAAAGAAGGGGTCCACCTCAACTGACCACATAGCAGAACGAGAGGATCTCGAAGAGGACAAGCGAGAATAGATGGCAACTTACACTTACACCCACCATGCCTTATGAAGAATCATTTTCTTGCGACCAAGATATAAAAATGTGGTACAGTTGTACATTGAAACCTCATAGACAGAGTTTTTATCTCCAGAGTTAGAAGTTGAATAAGGGTCTGATCATCATCTTTTAAAGGCTCTTGTTATTCTCTTGTGAGATTAAAACTCGAAGTGTACATTAAATGTCATTCACCGAGCGCAACAAATTATTGGTCAGGAGTCAGGACTTGTGATTAAGCTGCCAGTTTTTAAGACTTCAAGAACTAATGAACTGACAAACAAAATTGATCAAAATTGGCCAGTAAACTGAAATCTATATAAACTGATAAAGAGCAATTGACCCAAGACTGATTGACCAGAATATGCATCCTTTCGTAATAATGTAATATTGTAATATGACCAAAATATAAGGGGGTGTATTGTATTACGAATTAGTGGCAAAATTTTAAAATTCCATGGATTTTAAAAGTTTAGGTGTATTCAATGTGGACTTTTAAAAGTCTACAAAAGTCTAGGTGTATTCTAGTGTTGGACTCGGTTCAGGCCACCCGGCCCGGGAACCGGCCCGACCCGCTACTGTGCGGGACCGGCCTGGCCCGCTACTGTGCGGGACCGGCTCGGCCCGGTTCTTCAGACCCAAAACCGGTCTATGGCCCGGTTATAGAAGATGAGCGGGGGGGCGGGCTCGGGGCGGTAAAAAGGAGGCCCGGCCCGGTTAGGCCCGAGCCCGATTCGGGCCAAATTGATTTTTTTTTGTTTTTTTTTTCATTTTTTAGGCTCCACCCGGCTTGGGCTTGATGTTTAGGAGGGGTTTGTGGGGTTTGGGGGGTGGGGGGTCGGGGGGGGGGGGTAAGGGATAGGTAGGTAATAAAAAAAAATTACCCAAGCCCGAGGCCCGGACCCGGACCGGACCCGGTGGCTACCCGGGCCGGTGCTGGGTCCACCTACTCTGAACCGCTGGCCCGCCTGGGCCTAGGCCCGACCCGGACCCAGCCCGGCCTGAATTCATCCCTAGTGTATTCAATGTAGACTTTTAAAAGTCTATAAAAATCTATGCATATTCAAAGTTCCGTTCATTCTTATGGATTTCTAAAATCATGGATTCTCGTGGACTTTTAACTCATTTTTAGTATATTAATTCTCTTCGATTGTCTCTTCTCCTCACTAAAGACTTCCGTGGACTTTTCTTATATCGGTTCTTCATCCCGTCCCCCCACCCCATTCCCCAACTCTCCTCTTCTTTAGCCAAGTCACCCCTTCCCCTTCGATCTTTCTTCTTCTTCTTCAGCCTACGAGTGGACTCGGGCTGGGCCAACCGGCCCGGAACCGGACCAGCCCGCTACTGTGCGGGCCCGGCCCGACCCGGTGAACCGATTGGTTGCCCGGTTCGGGCCACCCAGCCCGGTGGGATGGCGGTTCGGGCTCGGGCCCTTCAAAAGGTGAACCGGCCTGGCCGGTTCGGGCCCGGGGCGGGCCAATTTATTATTATTTTTTTGAATTTTTTTTTAAGTTTTTGGGTTGGGCTGGGTATTTTGGGCCATTTGAGGTGGCTAGGGTTGGTTTGGGGGTGAGGGGGAGGGTTGGGGGTTAACTAGGAAAAGCCAAAAAAAAAAATAGAATCGAGGCCCGGCCCGGCCCAGCCCGGACCCGGGGGTTACCCGGGCCGGTTCCGGGCCTCCCCTTCATGAACCGAGGCCCGGCCAGGCCCGAACCGGAACCGGTCCACCCCTACTTCAGCCCAGCTCACCCCATCCCTCTCTTTCCGTTCTTTTTCTTCTTCCGCTTGCCACACCCCTCTCGATTTGTTAATCCCATACTGATTCGATTCTAGAAGTTTCTAGAAGAACTGGTATAAGGATCGATAATATTACATCAGTGCAATTCTGGTACGTCGTCACTTAACCATTAAGAAAATAAATATTTTAACTATTATTTTCTTTCATCGTTAAATCGCTAACAAATAAAAATATAATTTCAAATTAATAAATAAATAACCGTAAATAAGTACACGAAATCATACAAGACAGAAATGAAAAGAAAACAATTATTAAGAAGAAAAACTCGATCGCAACTATGCTTGTACCACATGTAGCAATGAGTGTAACAGTTGTGTAACGATTAATGTTCTTACTCATTAATAAAATGACCAAAAGTCTTGAGCATTCTTGAAACTTTGAGTTTTTTTAATAAAAATAAATTTGGATTCTTATGCTTCATTTATTCTTGTAGAACTTTGTGTTGCTATATGAATTACATTTGTTTTATTTATTTATTTATTTATTTATTTATTTATTTATTTATTTATTTGTTTGTTTGTTTGTTTGTTTGTTTGTTTGTTTATTTGTTTGTTTGTTTGTTTGTTTGTTTCTTATCATACTCTATATCATACAAAGGAAATTACTCAGGGTAGATCAGTCCGATGACGACAGCGGGGAACTCAAATGACGGAGGTGGATGGGCAGATCGGTAGCGACGGTCTAGGTGAAAATTTCAATGACCAACCGTGGTGGTCCGCATTTAAAAATCTATGAACTTTTTGAAATCAATAGACTTATCCATGTATTTAAAAGTACACGGCATTCATTCATAAAAAAGTTTATAGATTTAAAAGTCCACTGACTTTTTTAAAAGTTCACGGATTAAGAAAAGTCTACCACAATATATATTAAATACACCCCCTAAGACTCAAAAAGTAACAAACAAGGACTTCTAATTTTGTTAAAGAAGTAGCCGTGGAAAACTTAGTACAAAAAGCATAAAAATCTTCATGGCTAGAGAACTAATAAGAACAAGGCACGTGTAAATGAATAAGTGAGTTGAAGCACACATATTAATACACTAATATTAAAGTTACGACATTGTGTAAATTGGTTGAATAAAGAAAAAATTTGAGTTTTTTCCAAAATACTCTTAAAGTACAGGAGCCGTCACTGGGTAATGGATCAAGTAAGTAACCAAGCAGCCATATATGGTAATGGATCCCACCAAAATTAAAATCTTCTGTTTTCTTTGAAGTGTTATAACTTTTTTATTTGTACTCCGATTGTTACAAAGAGTATACCAAAATTAACAAATTTTTATTATCTTTCAAACGACACCAATATTGAATATATAAAATCAAAAAATTAGATAACACTTTAAAAATTACTGTGTATTTGTTTTTAAAGTGTTACATATTTTATATTTGTATTCCCATTATTACAAAAAATATATCAAAATTTATTATTATTTATTATCTTTTATAGGGAAGCAATGTTTCATATGAAAAAAATAAAATATATTAATTTGTGTAATTAGGATCGTTTTTTACCATGCACTCCAAATTTTTTATATACTCAATATTGGTGTCATATGAAATAAAACAACATAAATTCTCATGTGAAAAAAAATAAATGTGATGGAGTTTGTATAATTTTGTTTTAATCTATAACTCTTGATTAATTTTGTACATGATAAAAAACGATCCTAAACTACACCAATTAATATATTTTCTTTTTATTTTTCTATATGAAACATTTATTCCTTATGAAATATAATAAACAATAATAAATTTTGATATATTTTTTGTAATAATCGCAATACAAATAAAAAATATGTAACACTTTAAAAACACATACACATTAATTTTTAGAGTGTTATCTAATTTTTTGATTTTATATATTCAATATTGGTATCGTATGAAAGCTAATAAAAAGTTATGATTTTGGTATATTTTTTGTAACAATCACGGTACAAATAAAAAATTATAACACTTCAAAGAAAACAGGAGATTTTAAATTTTGGCGGGACCCATTACCATATATGGTTGGCTTGGGCATTATATCTTGGTTACTTCGTGAGCTGCTTATTTTGTTAAAAACCCGACACTTTAAGTGACGGCTCTTGTACTTTAAGAGAAAAACCGCCACTTCAAGTGGCGGCTTTCCTTAACCACGGTTAATCCATCAGTATTTTGGGAATTATTTTTAACTTAACAGTATTTTGGGAATTATTTATTTATTTAGCATTATTCCGGGAATAAGCTCAAAAAATTTATGAGGGTAGAAGATGAAAGAAATGAAAATTCGGTGTAACACCTGCTTCAAATCAATTGTAATCGACAATCCAATTACCTTTGAGTAGGGGTGGACGTGGTCTAGGAGGGGGAGGATGCAGAGGCTTACATATTTTTTAAATTTGTAAAAATTTAAAAAATCAAGTAATTATTTTTAAGTTTACTTAGTATTCTTTTGTGTATTCCTTTTTTAAGTTCTTTTAATTAATTTTAATTTTTTTATTATTTTATTTATTACTTTGATTTTACTTTATTAAATCAAGTAATTAATGCAGCGATAAAGGCCTACAAATTCATTTTTTATTATTAATTTATAATATGTTTTTATTTTTTATATTTATTACAAGCAAAATAATGATTTTCTTATTAATCAAATAAATCTATCACAGATTATAAGAAGAAGAGATACTACATTTAAGAAGATGGACATATATTACACCTATTATGCATTTATGTATAGTAATTGGCTAAAGGGTCGAATAGAGTCCTTGTACTGGTCTTGTAAGTTTAATTCAGTCTCTGAATTAAAAAAAGGATCAATTCACACTCCGAACCAATAAAAAATGGTTCAAATTTCATTTTTTACGGGTAAACAAGATGTTATTTTTTTAATTTTTTAATTGTTTCTGTTTTTTATTTTCGATTTATTACAAATTTGACACTTTTTAATAGTTTAGGATTGCGAATTGGACCTTTTTTACCGGTTCCTAAACCTTTAAAAATGAAATTTGAACATTTTTTGCGGTTTCGGGTGTGAATTGGACCTTTTTTTAGTCCAAGACTGAATTGAGAAGACCGGTTCAGGGGCCAAAGGAGGTAATTTTACACCTATATAGGGTTAATAGCCGCATTCCAAACAATTTCATGTTACATGGTATTCCGTAGTAACTAGTTTAGGACCCGTGCGATGCACGGGACTTTTGAAAGTGTTTGTATAATAATTGTATTCTTCAAATTGTTCACTGTCTTAATTTAATATGAATAATAATACAATTCTAATATGAAACAACATTGAATAGATAAAAACATAGAAATAAATGTCTTTATAAATTTTGAAACACTTCTTTATATACAACATTTTTTGTTACATTGGTATCTTTATCATCTTGGTCACGTATTAAAATTTTCAACCCAGCACGCTCAGTGACACGTGAAAGAGCAACATATAGCTGATCATGACTGAACACCGGTTTCTGTAAGAATAATCCAACATTAGACAACGATTGTCCCTGACTTTTGTTAATTGTCAAAGCGTATGA